ATGGAATGTCATTGGAAATGCAGATTGTCATCACTATAGATAGGGGTAAAGGGCAAGTGTGCTTTCTCCCCTACCTTCTTTCCCTGTTTGCTTAGTACAATAAAGAAGAGTGACCCTGAAGCTTATGAGACATACAAGAGAAGGAGTCTGAGTTCCTGCCAACCTACATTAGACTAGGGTATATATGAAAAATAAAATTCTATTGTATAAAGTTTCAGGGAGGGGGAAACGTTCCTGCTTATCCCTCTTGAGTTCTTTTGGCTGGTCTAATAGTTAAATTGACACAAGACAGATCAACAGGAGAAAGTCAAATTTAGATTCATACATATGGAGTTCTCATAGAAAGGAGACCTAAAGAAATGACCACAGCAGACAGCTTTTATATTTTTTAGACAAAGAAACAATAAATTTTGTGAAGAACTGACAAGACAAAGAAACTTAGATTTAAGTACTTAATTAGTGAAGAGACTGAGTAGAGTTTGTTTACACAGCCTTTTCAGCCCTGAATTCTCCATCTCTGGTAATAAGGATGTCTTGCTACCTCATGGCGCAGGGAGGGTGCCTTTTCACGTGGGAGATTTATTTTCTGCTTTCAGGGAGGCAAAGGATGGTCAGAGCGTCCCTTTTGCGCTAGCTTTTTCTTAAGTAACTTTAATTCAAAAAAATCAGTATGCCTTTTTGGCATATTTTGGGGCAGCCTGCCCTGAACCCCATCAAAAGTCACAGATATTTTGGGGTTTTTTAAGTCACAGAAGAAAAACTACCCTGACAAATACGCATAACATGAATAATAAGTTTTTTTGATTATTATTTGTTTGTTTTAGTGGTAAGTACATTGCTTATTAGGATGTGGTAAGAGACATTAACTAAATAAAAATTATTGGGGCCAGCCCAGTGGCCGAGTGGTTAAGTTCGAACTCCGCTTTGGCAGCCCACGGTTTTGCCGATTCGGATCCTGGGCAAGGACAGGGCACTGCTTGTTGGGTCATGCTGAGGCAGAATCCTACATGCCACAACTAGAAGGACGCACAACTAAAATATACAACTATGTACCCGGCGGGAGCTTTGGGGAGAAGAAGGAAAATAAATAAATAAATAAATAAATAAATAAAAGATTGGCAACAGATGTTAGCACAGGTGCCAATCTTAAAAAAAAAAAAAAAAGAATTATTATAGGAACCATAGCTTTAAGAGTTTTCAAATAAGTTTTTCTTTTCTTTTCTTTTCTTTTTTTCGGTGAGGAAGATTGGCCCTGAGCTTACATCTGTGCCAATCTTTCTCTATTTTGTATGTGGGATTCCGCCACAGCATTGCTTGAAGAGTAGTGTGTAGGTCCATGCCTGGGATCTGAACCTGCAAACCCTGGGCCACCAAAGTGGAGCATGAGAACTTAACCACTACATGACAGGGCTGGTCCCTAGATTTTTCATTTTTAAGTAATATATCCAGGTAGAAGTGGCATGATGAAAGTATCATCGTTGGCTGATTTGTAGCAAAATGCTCATAGATTTCTTCCCAACTCAGGAACCTTTTGATGGAGTTGGGAGATATAACCCTGACCTCAGGGAGCTCCCCATCTTCTGGGAGATGCAGACCTCTCTGTCCAAGGGTATTGCAAGACAGGCAGGGAAGAGCGGATATTTTGCAGTTCCAAGTACTGTTGCTTTAGATGTGTAGGGAGCAGAAAGGGGTTGGGGAAGGACCAGGGTCAAGGACTTAGCAGAGGGCAGGAGTGATCCGGGTTCAAAGAGTGAGGCTCAGAACATTCCCCCCAACTCCACAGCATCATTTGGAGAGGTGTACACCACTCAACATCTCAGCAGACATCAAATAAGCTTCTCTCGTTTGGTAGGGGGCAGGCTGGACCCTGAGTCTACTGCCCTGAGCAAGACAGAGAAGGTTGCTGCCCTCATGGTGCTCACAGAGTGGAGAAGTCACATGTGAATCCAGCAAGCATGAGTGTGATGAGAGCCGTAGTGTCAGAGGCACAGGGCAGTTTGGCAGAGGCAGATCTCAGAGGTGAGATTCACAAAACTCACCTGACAGCTGTGCCTGCAAATGCGTCAGGGGCCAGAGGGGTCTAATAAGACCCAAAAGTCCAGACAGCCCACTGGGTTCTGGGGAGGTGTGTGGGGCGGCAGGGGTGGCGTGGGAGGTTGAATATAGAGCATGAAAGGGAAGAGACAGAAGAGAGGGGAGAGAATTGAGAAAATTAAGCAGGCGGCTGGCAAGGATAGGCGAGGAAAGCGGTTGCCCTAGACCCACCATGAGACTTTTCTGAGGCAGGACTATGGAATTACAGGGAAATCCCTCAATTGTCACTTTCTATCTGAAGAAGAAGGAATTTTTTTTCAGGAATTTTGGAGGTCTTAGTTCTGGTAGGATGAAGGAAAGTGAAGGTGAAATAAACAAGGAAGAACTATGAAGAGAAACCAAATGTGCTTTTATTTATCTGCCCAAGTTAGAGCAGCTACCAGGCTGTGGACCTGAAGCTTGCCAAACTGTCCCCAGTTTGAACCTCAAACTCATCACACAGAAATAGCACCTGCTCTCTGAATTTCCAGCCTAGAGGTGGCTATTTTGCTAAGTCACAGAGGAGGAGAGGAGCTGAGGGAAGAAAAGGAGACAGGGACAAGTGTTCGTTTGGCCCTAAAGTGGCATCAGCTATCAAAGTCAGTGAGCAGGATTGGAGGCCCTTGGGCTGTGAGTGTGAGTGGGGTGTTGGAGTATTCAGGGTCCCTACCAGAAGGTCTAGAATAAGATGGCGATGTGTGGGGAGGAGAGACACATGGGCGACCCCTACAAGGATGTGGGATCCCCTGCCCTTGGGCTGCTCATATCAGACCTGCTGCAGAGCTTCGAGAATGTTCTGGATGGCCAGGACATACATTTTCTCTAGCTCAGCAACATCTTTATTGACTTCTATATTTTTTGCTATCATGATAAAAAGTTTTAAAAAACCTAAAATATATGAAATAATATTATATAAGGTAAAATGTGGAAAAGCATAGAGTTGTTCAAGCAAAGAAAATGAACACTAACATGTAAGAAGCCAGAAATAACATAGTTGTATTTTGATGTATTTAGTGTCAGGATATTTTTTTCTAAAAACCCACACATGTGCATACATTGCTAAAAGATGCTTTGTTTGGTTCATATTGTTTCAGGTCTGCTTTTTTAATAATATAATCTGGACATTTTCCAATGAGCCTAATCATTCTTCTATAACATTCTTTTTGATGGTTGCAGTATAGTCTCAACACATAGACACTCCATCAATTATTGAACCCATTACCTATTGATATGCATTGAGTTATATACAACTTTTTCATATTAGATGCAACGCTGAGATTAATATCCTCATGTATAAAATATTTGTGTACATACATAAGCATTTCCTGAAAATAAATTTCTAGAATACACTTGGCGGCTCAGGAGTCAGGTAGATCTTTAAACCCTTTGATTCTTCCCTGCAAAGCTGTTATTTAAGATGATTAATCTATATTCATAAAAACTGTGTATTATAGTGCCTATTTCCCCATTAAAAATCAGTCTATTTATCTTTAAGTGGCTCTAGAGCTGTCTCTAGATACTTCCACCATTGGAATCAGCAGCAATGTGAAATGTGCATACCTTTCAGACACAAATAAGTCATTTTTTTCCTGCCAGTTTGGCAACTGTTCATCACTTTGTAGTGACTGGTTGGACAATTTATGTCTAACAGGTCCCAAATATCTCTGAGTTCTTGCCAACCCTATCTGGAGTGCTTGCACATCACTCAAATGCTATCTGTCACCTGCCTCACACCTGCTGGATGTTATGGACCACCCACTTTGTCAAGAAATGGGACTCACCCCACAATGACAACTGTAGCCCTTCTGATATTTTATCTTAGCTTCGGTGATTTTGGAAAAGCTCATAATGTCCAAGATCCACTGAACAGAGACCTGCAAATCTGCTGGTCATCCTTGAAATCATGACCAGGTTGCAGGAGAAAGTGAGGGACTAGAAATCTGGAAAACTGGGCTCTACATGTGATTTAGAAAAAAATTTTGGTTGATCTTAATTAATCTTCTCCTTTATGGATATCAATTTTTTTTTTATCTTGAAATGCAGGGGCTATAGTAGGTGCTATTTAACTCTCCTTTCACCCTTGACATTTTATAGCTTAATGACCTGCTGTCAGTTTGCAGCTGATATTTCATCTTACTTGGATCATGTACTCCTTCTTGTAATCTCCACTTAAAACCCACATCCTTTCTCTAATCACTTGCTAAATAAGTTTCTGTGGGTTATTTTAGGAGAGATACTATTAGGAGTGTGTGTGTGCGTGCGTGAGTGTATGTGGTTGTGTACATGTTTGAATGAGAGGGACATGGATACCATATCTCCTGGAGAAGACTACAAATTCTCCAAGAGGATGCACTGTGTATTCTCCTCATCCTCTTCCTGGTACAGTTTCAGGCCTCCCTGCACATGATCTGTACCAAGCAAAGACAACATTTTCTGAGCTAACGAGAGTGGAGCTTGTGTGGGTGACTATGTGGCTATTTACAATGAATGTGTCTCTTTGTGAGTGTGTGTCTGTATGTATTGGATATCTGAAAGGTAAAATGAGTGAAGAAAATCAGAATAATCAGGTTCAAATATGTAGGAGTGAGTTTTTTAGTGTAAACAGGAGCCTTGGGTGCAGGGTCCTCAGGATCAGAGGTGGCTTGGAACAGGCACCATGGAACTCAGGAATGACTCAGTCCAGTGCCAGAGTGGAACTCTGCTCCAGAAGTGGCTGCCCAAAGGGACAGGTTCTGGGTTCATTATACAACAGCTATTGCCATTCTGAGGATGCCCCATAAATGTAATCACACACACACTTATGGAAGCACACAGTACCAGGACTAGGCAAGTGATGTCTGCACCAACTCGACTCTGTCTACAGGTCCTACTCATGATGAGATAACAAGGAAGGGGCAGATTTAACCAATGACACAAACAGCCAAGAGTGGGATTACAGAGATTTAATGGAAGCACAGCAGAAAACATACATTCTTCCCATCCAGATTGCCACTTCAGATGAACCCTGAGCAACTGAAGACCAGCAAAGCCACTAAGGCCTTCGACATAATTCAGAGGCTCAGAGGACTCTTTTGAATGTGTAAGGGAAGCTTCATAGCACAGATTTTTAGGATGCAAATAAGAGAGAGGCTATGACTGAGGGTGATTACAAGGTCTACAGACAATTAAGACACAGAAGCAGAAAGGAAGAAGATGTTCAGCATCTGGTGGTCAGCTCCTCAAGTGGATGGCTGTGGATCGTTTTACTTCTGCTTGGTCCCAGGCTCGATTGGGCCTGGAATGACCGTTATGGGATATGGCTCAGGGAACTTGGATTGGCCAGGCAGAGGCTCTTTAGGGTAGACAGCCTCAGGAAACTTGGGGTGACCTTGCTCAGGAAATGTAGATTGACCTGGTTCAGGATACTTGGGGTAGCATGGCTCTGGAACCTTGATGTTGCCGGGTTGTGGAAACTGGGCATCCCCAGGCTGAGGGACCTTGATGTTGCCAGGCTGAGGGAACTTGGTGTTGTCAGGCTGAGGAATGATGATGTCGCACGGCTCCTTGGTATTGGGGAAACATGGTTCTTGAGGTGGAGGCTGGCAAGGCTGTTTCACCTGCTGTTCTTGAGGCTGTGGGGGTAGGGTGCAGGGCTGCTTCTGCTGATAGGAACTCATGCTTCAAAGGAAGCTGAACCTAGAGACAGAAAAGCTCAGTGGTTTGGTGAAACAAGGAAGAAGTCAAGTTTAATGACAAATATGTCTCATTTCATGCCCCTTCAAAAGGGAGAGCCTCTCTTCCCCTTCTTTCTGTTTCCCTGAATTTGAGATCAAAAGAAACTTTGGTGATTCTTGTGCACTTTAAAGAGGAGAAACTCAAAGGTGATTTATTCTGCTCCACATGAGTGGAGACTTTCTCTGTGTTCCTTTCTTCCAGGTGATTCTGAAAACCTGCCTCAGCCACACAACACAACAGCCAGCTCCTAGGATTGTTGTGTGGTCCCAGGTTTTCAGTAATTTGAAAAGGCGATAATGTCAAAAGTTTGGAGTCTACCTTCTCATGTCCATCATACACAGTGCATTAGCTCTCATAGGAAAACTCTGTGGAAACCTCCCTCAACCCCACAAAATTCCACCTAGGAGCCTTTGTTCATATTGTCCTCTCTGTGCATACTTCTGGAAGGATTCACATTCTGTCTCGTAGATACACGTTTACTCATCATGGCTCCTCTCTCAGACACTCTCTGCCTGTTTCCAAGTCACCTTCCTCATTTTGTCACAGTACAATTCCTGCCTTGCCCTCTCTACTAATCAATTTTCATGCAGTATGTTTGCAAATTACACCCACATATTCTGTTCTCTGGTGGATTGTAGGTTTATGGAGTAAAGAAAAACATATATTTTGAACATTTAAATAGCTAATGCAGTGCCTTCTATATTGCGAACTCTCTATACCAGTTAGAGGAACTATTAAAACACCACTGAGAGTACACCGGACATGGGCTGTAGTCCATATCCTCCTGTTAATTTAATAGCTATCTTTAAAAGAACCACTCATCTTTTCTGACCCCGAGTTCCAAAGCTGTAATCTGAGTGGGAAGTCAAAAAGATCTATAAAGTCACCTTAAACACAAATTGCCATTGCGTTTTAACTAAATATATCCTTAACATAGCAAAGAGATCCCAATCAAATAAAATATAACTGGCAAATATTAAGAAGTTCCAAGTGGAGAGACTTGCCTTGTGTGCAGAGAAGTTCAAGCTGTCTGGCCTCTTGGGTCTGGCGTGGAGTCTCTGGCCAGGTCGCATTTTATATAGAATATGAGCCCTGCCTTAAGGAAGTGAGATTTGGGGGGAGTAATCTATCTTCATACCAGCTTTTGTAAGGAAAATCTCAGGCTTGACATTTTTTTGACTTACTCTTTGACAATGATGTCACCTGCACCTGTTCTCACTGTCCACCCTTTGTGGTGAGTTTCTTCTGGGCAATAAGATTCTTGGGTGGTTATGAGTTAAATCAGTGGAACGTTCTGGGCTTCTGGGACCAGAAACAACCGTGCCTGTTGGACAGGACCCTAATCTTTAGCTCATAGCAATCCTATTGAGCACTTTAGTTGCCTAAGTGAATGTATAGATGAACAATAGGCACTACTGGTTCTTCTGGACGGCTCTGAAGAAAGATAAGTGAATCATATGATACTCACTTAAGTGAATATTCAATAAGAGGGAATAATTGAATCATCTGATATTCCATCTTTCAGAGGAGCCAGGCTTGGGAAAGAAAAGGCTAAATCTCCTGCTTTGGAAATGAATTGTTTTCACTCTGGAGAGAGCCTTAAGATGCCATCTTGACTACAGCTAGTAGATGTCATTAGAAATGGACAGTAAAGATTGACTGGATCTGTCTGACATGATGACACACCCTGAAGACCTTGCCTCTCATGGAGTCTGTCTTTTTTAGGGGCAACACAGAAAGAAGAGAGCTCTGAATCCCTGAGTTCATACACCAACCATATCCTCTGATCATGATGAGTTGAAACAAAGGTCACTAACCCAAATTTGACCTCAATGCACAACCTCTTACTAGGCGTGGCCCCTAGGAAATCTAAACATCCTTAAAACTCAGGGATGTGGATGGCTCCTCCCTTCCCACTGCTCTACCTCTGTGTTACCTCCCATGAAACTGAGTCCCAGGCACAGCCACCACCATGAGCTCCTTTTGTCAGTTCCCCAAAGCCCTAGTTGCATTTTATCCTCACAGGCTGTCTTGTAGATGCTCAGTCAATGGGCAACTGTTGCTTTCCCTAATAGATGTGTAGGTTCATGGAAGGAAGGAAAGAAGGAAGGAAGGAAGGAGAGAGGGAGAGAGAAAGAGAGAGAGAAAAGCATTATTTTAGAAGGATGTCTATAAAATGCTTTGTCAATCATAAAGCCACTTCTTGAAAATGATTCACTCCCTTGTGACAGGCTGACAGCAGGTCATTATGGTAGGAGCTGAGAAGAGGGTGAGGGTTCACCACCCTCTTTCCTGCTTCCTTCCCCACCCATCTGTTTTCCTCTCTGCTGGTGTTTGACCAGTGCCTCCCTCTGGGGTGTGGCCAGTGACACTGTCACACTGAAGCTTTAGTCTCTGGTATCACATTAGCTCTCCTCTCCAGTTGGGTCTGGGTCCCTCTTCTCTCCAAAATCACCTCTCAGGAATCCTCTCAATACAGGCAGCTTCTACCAGACCCTGCTGCTCCACCTGGGATTCTTATCTCCAGGGGAATCTGCTTCCTGTTCCTCTGTATGAATGTGGGTCTTTCATGTATCCTTTCTTGATTATGGACCCTGGTCCTAGAAGAAATTCCTTTCTCATATCCTGTCTTCCTCCCCTGGATGGACTCTCTCCTGCTCTGTTCTACGTGATGTCTTGTTTACCATAACAAATACCTCTCTGGCAACAGCCCCTAGAACTTCTAATTTACCCCAACCCTGTTATTCCTGTTTGTTTGGACAAGCACGCTCAGTGGCTGAGTGTTAAGGCTCCTTTTGCCCTTCAGAGAAACTTGGTTTCCTCACTAGCACTGCACACACTAAGAACACTGACCCCCAGACAGAGGTCCCCATACAGACTTACTTTCAGATGTACCTTGATCTTTCCCCCTGGCCCCCTTTCCTGGTGGCAGGAGGCTGCCACTCTTCCCACATCAATGGCCTGGGCTTTCCTTGGGACTTGTATGTGGATGGTACTGGGTACCTTTAAACACTCTACAAATCTTCTGGGTCTTGCTCTGTTGCCAGTCATGTCTATATGGTTCATTCCCACACATTCCCTTAGACTCTGCCTTTCCTTTCTTGATCCTAGGTTCCAGGAAGCCACAGCATGAGATGTCTATGGGAATTTTTAATGCATCTGTGGAAGAACAGGCTTGAATAGTTAACGCTCGATGGCCACACTTCACCAATGGAGTACATGAGCTGATAGATAATGCTTCCCTCTCTCAGACCCAGAGAAAACCCTTCTGAGATATACCTTTTTTTTCATGTTAAATATGTACAATTATATGAGTTTGGACATATGCAAAAACCTGTGATACCAACACCACAATCAAGAAAGTTTCCTTGCATGTGTATCTCTCTCTCTTTTTTTGTTTTGTTGTGAGAGCTCTTAACATGAGATCTACCCTCTAAAATTTTTAAGTACACTATATCATATTGTTAACTATAGGCATTGTGTTGTAAAACATATCTCTAGAACTTACTTATCTAGCACAACTGAAACTTTATATCCATTGAATAACAACTCTCCATTTCCCCCACCACCTCATCCATGAAAAACGCTATTGTATTCTCTGATTCTATGAGTTTGACTATTTTAGATACCTCATATAAATGGAATCATACAGTATTCATCCTTCTGTGATTTATTTCACTTGGCTTAATGTGCTATAGGTTCATCCATATTGTCACAAATGGCAGGGTTTCCTTCTTTTTAAAGGCCAAATAGTATTCCATTTTGTTGATAGACCATATTTTCTTTATCCGTTCGTGTATTGACGGACACTTGTGTTGTTTCCATGTCTTGGCTGTTCTGAATAGTGTTGCAATGACCATGAGAGTGCAGATACCTTCTAGAGAGGCTGATCTCAATTCTTTTGGATATATACCCAGAAGTGGGAAGTCTGGATCTTATGGTAGTTCTATTTCTAATTTTTTGGAGAATCTCCATACTTTTCCCTCCCGTGCTGCACCATTTTCCATTCCCACCAACAACGTACAAGGGTTCCAATTTCTTTATAACCTTGTCAACACCTACCTTTTGTTTTTTCAATAATAGCTGTAAGGAACCACAAAAGACCCAGAATAGCCAAAACAATCTTGAGAAAGAGGAGCAAAGCTGGAGGCATCAGACTTCCTGATTTCAGACTATATTACAGAGCTACAATAATTAAAAAATTATGGTTCTGGCATAAAGACAGACATACAGACCAACGGAACAGAATAGATAGACCAGGAATAAGTCCACACATATACAGTCAACTGGCATGGTGACAGGTGGCATCTCACCTCTCACCACGTGTCAGAGGCTGCATCTTCAGCAAGCATCAGCTTCCACTCTCCTGGGGATGACCCTTAACAGAGACAGCCTTCTTTCCTGAACTTGTTGCCATGCCCAGAGCACAGAAGGACAGATGGATCACTGTAAGAAGGTTGGACTTGATCTAAGTGCCTTTGGACTCTCTGGAAAAGTTAGTGTGGCTGAGGACAGTACTTTCTCAGTTTACTCCTATTTTTAAATAATTGGCAGTTTTATAACTTTTATTTAAGTACATGAAACATTTTGAGTTAGTTTTTGTATAAAATGTGATGTTTAAATCTAGTTTAATTTTTTCCCCATGGCTGTCCAATTGCTGTAGCGCCATTTATTTGTTGAAAAAGCAATACCTCCTACACTGTATTGCTTTTGCCATTTTATCAAAAGTTAATTGGCAAGACTTAGGAACAACCTAAGTGTCCATCGACAGATGAACGGATAAAGAAAATGTGTTATATATATACAATGGAATACTATCTGGCCATAAGAAAAGATGAAATGTTGTCATTTGCAACAACATGGATCTTGGGGGTATTATGCTAAGCAAAATAAGTCACACAAGAGAGACAAATATCATATGATTTCATTAATATGTGGGAGATAAAACAAAACGATA